CAAAGTATATGTGACCTGCTGTATGGAAAGTGAATTTGCTCTGTAAATCTTCACCCAAATCACAATTAAAAAAAAAAAAAATAGAGAACCAACATGATCTATTTCACTCCAAAGCAAGAGCGGAAACTGAGGCTAGAGTCTAATTTTAGCCACAGGCTCCTCAATCATTATTTGCCTAATATAAGTGGAGTTTAATAACAGGTTTCTGGAGGAATAGCTTTTTGTTCTTGTTGAAAATCTCCCTGTACTTGAGATAGTGTAATGAGAAGTCTCTCCAGGACACCAAAATTATTTCTAAGTGTCAACTGCTTGAAGTTTTTTAACATTTCCACTTCCAGCAATACAAATATATTAAATGGAAAAGTAATTCAAAATGTAAAAACAAAGTAACAATAGAATACTTGAGCCTATTTTATTTTTTGTCATAGACACGAGACTGACTACGTGGATTTTTCAGAGACGTGAAATTATGGACTAGACTCTTTCTTCTTTTGGAGCTCCAGTTCGGCAGCCCTTTGTACAGCTACATCAACTAGTAGCTGGAAGTTGCTGAAATCCTCATACTCTTCTGTTGATATGGGTTCAGAAGACATCGGCAGGGATTCTCCGGTAGAAATCATGACCTTCTTTGGCTCGTCCTTCAGTTTCTGGCCTGAGACCGACACTGGATGTGAAAACTTCTCCCCTGACTCTAGCCTTCTTGGCTGAGGACACAGGAACAGGCATTGTGCCGTGCCTGGATCTCTAGACCCTGCCTTGGCAGGCGTAGATGGATCAGTGCTGTGCATGTTAGTCATATCAACAGCCTTGCCTTTTAGGTGGGTCATGGTGACCTGGTTGAAGTCATATCCATCCTGTTGAAGCATTTCTGGGAGAATTCTTCTGCGGGCGTTGATGAACCAGTTAGCAATCTGCAGGAAATTCAAACCGGTCTGCTCTGACAGCATTTGCTTCTCGTTCTGTGAAGGGTAGGCCTTAAACCTGTGCTCATACAGCCAGTCACGAAGGATTTTCACGGACTCCGGGGGAAAGTATCCTTTCCGATTCTTCCTGCTTTCAGATGAGGCAAGAGTTCTATCTCTACCTGCGTTAGTATTCAAAATGATTGTGGTTTCTTGGGCCAGAATTTGGGTCTCCGGCAGGCTTTCCCCAGGGACTTCCATGTTCCTTAGGCCGACTTCACGGTTTTAAGACTAGGAGACAGCAGAGATAAGATGAACGTTAGTCTAGGAAAGCCTATAAAGAAGATATTTGCAGGCCTCCGGAGCCTCCAAGCTCACCTTCGCATAACAGGTCGGGTAAACAGTGTTGCTAGTAGCTACCACTCAGCCAGCTCTATGTCATCACATTCTTTTACCCCACCCCACTCCTCCCCATTCTTCCTGGCCCCGCCTCCCTCCACTAGTCTTCCATTTTTTGTGCAAGTTCTCATTTTCATCCGTGTAGTATAGCTATTTACTAGCTCTCCAGAGCTGTATTTCTCTGCTGTGGTTATCAATTTCTGGTAACTGATTAAGTCTATTCCTATTAGTTTTACATCTGGCTTGTGTACAAGCACCTCATTTTCTTCCTTTTTGATTTTACTCTGATACTGTTCTTACTGCTTTACTGTTCCTTATAACTGCATCACTGGATGGTCTACATATAATAGAAACAAGTTACCTCTTAGCTATTAAGCTCAATAAAAAGAGAGAGGAAGTGGTGTCTTCTGACTCCTCCCTTCCACGTGCAAAGGCAATCTTTAGAGTAATTTTAACTAGAGATTTACTTTTGAAACTCCATGCTCTTGATTTTTCCTCTTCTATGGCTTTGAAATTTTTGGCTTTAGCATGACTTCACTATAACCGTTCAATGCCACCAGGATCTGTATGTTTATACTTTGAGTTCTGATACACATTTGTGATAATTCTTCATGAAGTTTCTGTCAAATATTCAGGGACTTCTTAGGAACGTTGAACATATAAGATTCAAGAGATAACATTGACCTGTAATTAGATTATTTTACTCTTTTTTGATACTTAGTGCATAGAAAACATTGTCTAAATCAGAGGAAAATACTTCACAAATTTTATATTTTAATTTCAGGTGTTGAAAAACAAGGGTTGATTCTTTGAAGACTATTATAACCCACATGGAGAACAATCATCAGCTCTGATTTCTCAAGGGTACTCTATAGTATTGTTTATTATTCATTTCAGAGATGTTTCAGAAGAAACTCCTGCATCATATATTATCCACAGGTTGTATGGTGGAGACCATAGGCATTTGCCCCTTAAGAGTTTTTATCTTGTATTACTGGGCTGGATATCAGAATATCATCTGCTGATTCTTTGTTTCTTTGTAAACTTAATGGTGTTAACTTCCCCAACTTAAAATTTACTCCTGTTGAGACCTATTGAAGTATCCAGTTGAATCTAATTGATGGATGTTTTAATACAACTCCCACCAAACACTAAGTGCATAAATTCCCTACAATTGAAGATATCCCTTGGAATATTGTAGAAGAGAGTGCTACTACTTCCACTGTTTTTATGTTTGTTGCTTTCCCCTTTGTGGGTGGGTGGGTTTCTAGAATAGATAAGATTTCACATGCATGAGGAGAACTTGCTTCCTACAACTATTACCCACTTACATATGCTCGCCTCTTCTGGTTACCTAGTGCTGCTCTGACAGGAAACATATCACAAATGGGATGGCTTAAACAAACAGGAGTTTATTCTCACAATTTAGAGGCTTTAAGTCCAAGTTCAAAGTGCCAGGCTCTAGGGGCTGGGTGAAAGCCCCTCAAGCTTGGGGTCCAGCTCTGCCTCATGCTCCCGGCCCACTGGAGCTAGAGGCATTTCTTCACTCAGACAGCCGCTGGCTGCTGAGGCTGAGAAGCCCCAAGGTTGACAAGTAAAAAGGCACAGTCGCGATGTTACCAAACCACAT